AAATTGAAGATAAGCACAGGATAAATATATTGAATCTGCCAAACAAATTGATGTTTTTATTATCTATAAAAAGTTTTCTATGACACCCTATAGATGCTCTTAGATACTAGCTAGTAAAAGTTAAAGTGCACCAATCTGAAAATGAGTAGTTTAAAGGCTAGAATTAGGACTCGAAACCACCCAAATTTAATCTAAAAAATCGGACACTTGCAATGATAACGCTTTAGAGTACACCTGTGTGCAGTAAACTGAAAATTCATTAATTTTTTTAAATTTATAAAATCTGTATCAAAAATCTCTCCATCCAGCATTTTAAAAATAAAAAAAACTTCGTTTTCTCCNACCCTACACTAAGAACTTGTTCAGCATTAAGTTATAAAGTTAAGAATTGTTGGAAACTTTTGCACTTATGAATATTCAGTCAAAACTCTAGATTCTAGAGAAATAGAATAAAAAATATTGGATGACAAAGGTTTATGTTTCCTTAGATGACAATTTAAAAAAATGGATGGTAAAAAAATTTCCCATGGATGAACAAACTGGTTAAAAAGACTATGGATGAATGAATGGATGAATGAAAGAATGAATGAAACTCCAAGGATGGAAGGATGGATGCGAATGGATGAATTAAAAACCAAGTTTGGATGAGAATGAATGAATGAAACACCAAGGATGGAAGGATGGATGAGAATGGATGAGTTAAAAACCAAGGATGGATGAGAATGGATGAATGAAACACCAAGGATGGAAGGATGGATGAGAATGGATGAGTTAAAAACCAAGGATGGATGAGAATGGATGAATGAAACACCAAGGATGAATATTCTAAGATAATAAACTGATAACATTGATTGAAGGAGCAACAAATAAACACATTCCACAGGTTTGTGTACATAACATAAACAGACATATTCCACAGTTTAGTGTGCATAACATAAACAAACATACTCCACAGTTTAGTGTGCATAACATAAACAAACATACTCCACAGTTTAGTGTGCATAACATAAACAGACATATTCCACAGTTTTGTGTACATAGCTTAAACAAACATATTCCACATGTTTTTGTACATAACATAAACGCACATATTCCACAATTTTGTGCACATAACATAAACAAACATATTCTTCAGGCTTGTGTACATAACATACACAAACATATTCCACATTGGAAAATAGCTTTAGTGTTAACCAAAGAGATAATTTTAAACATTCATGATCAATTGAAAAAATTGCGAATACAAAAGTGTAAGAGAAGTATGTGAATCCGAATCCATCTTTTTACAGGACAGATCCAGAATCTTAATCCAGATCTAGGATCTTAATCCAGATCCAGGATCTCAATCCAGATCCGCATCCGGATGACTTGAAGTTGGATAGATTCAACCTGTGATTTCTGAGGTTAAATTGGAGTAGGATAAATGTTCTTCAACCTGTGATTTCCGAGGTTTTATTGGAGTAGGATAGATGTTCTTCAACCTGTGATTTCCGAAGTTTTAATGGAGTAGGATATATGTTCTTCAACCTGTGATTTCTGAGGGTTTTTGGAGTAATATAAATGTTCTTCAACCTGTAATTTCTGAGGTTTAATTTTAAACAGATGGATTTTGCTAGGTCCACTGACTTGTTAGGAAACGCCTCTTTCAACGCATCTATCTATCTATCACTGGCTACGCATTTAATAACGTAGCTTTTTCATATTTAATATTCATTTTACGCACTTTAAGAACGTATTTTCAAGTGCCCCTTTATTTATAGAATGTTCTTAACTTTTTATTTTTTAAATGTGGTGTCTAAGTAAAAGTGACTTGAGGAATACTGTCACAGAGACAATGGAGGAAATTGGCAGATTAAACGTTTTTAAACTAAGTCGATATTTTTTCCATTAGATAAGGTACTTTTGTAAATCGGACATTAACAAACCTTTTAAACGGCTCGGGTCATAAAAAATTTCAACGAAATTGGCTTTAAATATGTCACATGGTTTTCTTCTATATTTCGCTATATCTGGTTCTAATAACTATATCCTTATATCCATGGTCATCTATTTCTAATACATAAATCTATCTGATTAAACCCTCTCATGTTAGTTGTTAGATCTAATGGATCTAATATATTTATCTATCTATCTTTAGATAATATTAATGTAGCTAGTTAAAGGGTATTCAAGCAGTTGGCATGAATTCTAAACCTTTTATTCAACTCATATTTATCCTTTAGGCAGTGCTGGATCTTGTAATCTATATCTTTTAAGTATCAAAATATGGGACTAAAATATAGTACTTTTGATTCTCATATTGTATATTTAGAGATTGGAACTTTTGAATCTCATTTTAAATTCAGAGATCAAAACTTGTGTATCCTTAATCTTGACCGTTTGTTCTTGATATCCAATGCGGGCACTTTTAAATTTGAGATTAATGCTTGATCCCTCAAGTAAAGTTATCCACTCATGAATATGGAATTAAATTAATCCGAATGTTTGCATAAAATAGATATCAGTGCTTGATCCTGAGATTTACTACTCAAAAGTTATGACTTTGATCTATCTTTGCGACTGGATGTTGAAAACTTTTGATATTATGAAAAGACTGCTATATATCTAATAATAATTAAGCTTTAAGTATACAAGGTTGCAAAGTTAATTTAGAATATGAGGAAAGTAATCAGTTGTATTTTTGTATTTTTAAATGTTTGTATTTGTCTTGGTAACAAGTGGGACGAAGCACCATAAATTCCTAAATAGCAACGGACTGGAAGGTATTTATCTGACCTAACCCAGGGTCCGAGGAATCTAATGTTGAATTAAATCATCTGTTTAACAGATATGAAGCCCCGGTAAATACCATCGCTATCAATTAATCATAATTTGACAATCAATAAATCAACTCACTTTATATAGATAGATACATCTTAGAAACACCATGCTTATCAATAGAGAGATAGATAGATAGATGAACAGATAGATAGATAGATAAATAGATAGATGAATAAATAAATAGATTGATAAATAGATAAAATGTATTTGCACATTCAAAATTGATAAAATTTTAAGACATAAAAATCTTTTAATATTCGAATAATCAATTAAAAAAAGATGTAGGCACGGTCCATTGGATGAAAAGATTCAGAAATATCACATTATTTTATTTATTATTTTCTTTTAATTAAATAATCTTTTAACTTATCCTTTTCTTTAAATATCTTCGTTTATATATCCTTTTCTTATTCATTTATGCATTCATTCATCCTATCCCCTTTCATTTATGCATTCATTCATTTCTATTCATTCTTCATCTAATAATTCATTCATTAGTTTTGCGTCGTTTACTAATGCATTCCTATATTCATCTTTTCCTTTATACATTCATCCTTTCTTTCATACATTTATCCAATCATTCATTTATTCATTTATTTATTCATTCTAGCAGTTTTATTGCAGACCTAACAATGATTATGAAGTATTTTTATCTGCTTAAAAACAAAAGTAATAACTACTGACCTTAAGACAAGCAATTATTTAACATTGGGAGGTCTTAATGGGTTTTCTTTAACCCTAACATGTCGGAGTGAGGAGGGTAGGGGGGGGGGGATAGAAAGTAAGAACTGTGGTTATAACCATATGGTATTTAACAGGGTGGGGGCTATGTATGTATTTTACATTAGGCAAAATTTTGTTAAAAGTCATCTTGTAAAAGGAAGGGAGGGGTGGGGGGGGGACACTTGGTACCATTAATTACAAGGTGGACAGAAATTTAGAAACAGGTTACCTCCCTATTTAAAATATTGTATTTTCATCATATTTGCAAAACTAAAATTCCCCTCCACATCCTCCATTTTTTTTGTAGAAATATCCATGTTCATGCCTTTTCTACTCTAGACAATGTGTTTTCTCAATCTAACCCATTCAATCCAATTTGTCTACTTTTAACCAATATACCTTAAACTAACATAAATAATCCTCTCCTTACTCCCATCTACACTCCCCCCCTTTCATCCCATTAATATCATCCCCTCCCCCACTCCCATCTACATCCTCCACTCCCACACTCCCATCTACATGCCCCCAACCATCTGCTCAATCTCTATCCTTTCCTTTTTATCTTCATTCTCCATCCTACTTCCTGTACTTTCAAAGCTTAAAATTCTAAATCTGTTACTTTTATTAGAGATCCATTTTTCTCTAAAAGACAAATTTAACAAAAAAAACTATATTTTCTCAGTATCTTAAGAATTTCTTCTACTTAAAACCGAACTTAACAAATTACCATCACCCAAATGTCCCAAACTTCAGTCTCCGAACTGAATTCTAATTTGTGTCCAAGCCAGCAATTCAACAATCTCATTTGGCTTGAGCACATATGCAGTAAAAATTCCAATATTTCAACTTTAACCTTCAAAATATGCATAAACATACTCTTCAATACGGTTCTATTAGACAAAGGGGTAATTTTGAACCAAAGCAGTAATTACAGCTAATTAAGATAACGCAATTAACAAAATTGGATTGCAATCAGTGATTTTCTTTTTCAATTTGTTCTCTAGGAACATTTGAAACTTCCTGGAAATTCCGTCTCTGTGCAAAGAGTCTTTTTTCCTTGCAAAATGCATATCCATATCTTTCAAATGTGCAAAATTGATGATTTAAGGGTTTCTGGGTCTGCCAGATACATAAACTTATCCATGCAGTCAAAGCAGAAGTACTAAATAGGAGGGAAATGGGGAATAGGAAGGAAGTATGTCATACCCACATAGTAGCAAAGAAAAGAAACTGAAAAGATCTATGACAATGTTACAGATAGAAATAGTGATGAAGAGATTGGTAATGATTCTGAAGATCTTGATGCTTTTATATATTATGATAACCATAACATTGGAAATAATTTGTGAAGAGGATATAAAGAGATGAAAAGTGATTAAGAGCTAGATAATGATTAAAACATTGTTAATAAAAAACATGTTGATGATGATCTTAATGATCTGCTCCTGAAATCCTACCTGGTGAACTTCTGCCCAGCCCTGTAAATCCTGGGTTCCAATAACAGCTCTCTCATGCAGCAAAACCTGATCAATAACATTGAGATCATCCAATTAATCAATCAAATAAACCAATCGATCAATAAATCAATCAAGACCAGCAGAATATGCTGACAAATCATATATAAAACTCAAATATTATTTTGAGAACTAGTCATAAATCATATAAATCATTCATACTTGAAGTCACTCTAAGATTGCTTATTGATCCAAATAAAATTTGTTTACGTACAAATCTATCCATTGATAATGTTAAAACTAACCTGCGTGATGTTAGGATCGGTGTTCCCTGCAACTGAGAGGTAGAGAGGGGTGAGCCCCTTCCCGTCCCTATAGTTAGGGGAGCCTCCTAAATCCAACATGGTCTTCACAGCCTCATAGTTGTTACCACTTACACCCCTAAATTAAGAATAAAAAATTAAAATTTTAAAAATAAGAAACATAGGCCGTTTTCTCATGATTTACTATTGTAAATTAGGTTAGGTTTAGATAGATAGATAGTCAAGCAAGTTTGGGAACATTCAATAAAATAATAATAATAATCACAAAAAATAATTTGTTCTCAACACTCAATACTGGGAAACCAAATCTGAACTGGCTGTGTCATGATGTAATAATCAAAAACTGAATTTGGCTTGTTGAAAATTAGTTACAAGTGTAAAGCTTTAGATTCAGCATTATCATAAGGTATCTATTTTAACAGCATAATTTACAAGATACATGAACACAACCTAATGCTACGATTTTAAATCAAGGATTTTTTACATCACATAAAAACAAACATCTAATTTATTGTTTGAAAAATAAATTATTATTTGATATTTTGACTGAAATATTTCAATTCTTTTCTCCCTAACCCAGCCAAACGACAGACAGAATTAAATGACAATGAACATTGATGGTAGTAGATTTGTATAGAACTTGAAGAAAGAAATTAAAACCACTTTGAACAAGTGACACTCCTCTAATAGCCTGAAATAGCTTGAAATAGCCTGACATAACTTGATGAGGAAATGTATCAAGTTGTAAGATTAACTCCTTATCTAAATCCAGTTTACCAGGGTCTCAGGTTTTTATATCTGGGTGCATCTATTAACTGAATAAATCAGGATATTTATTTCAACATTTTAAGTGGAAAACTTGGATCTAATCAAATACAGTGCATCAAATTTTCGCTACAGAACATTTTAACTGGACCCCCAAAAATATGACCTGACCTACTCCAAAATGGCTAAATGTTTTGTTTTTTTTAAATCAGGAACTAAATTGTATCCATTTTTTAGCAAAATGGATCAGGAACCAAATGGAGACCTATACCTTAGTTAAGAAAGAAGTTTTCAAATGGCATGGAAAAGAAGGATAACTTCCTAAACTTCTTTAAATGGCATTGACAAGAAGGAAAACTTCCTAAACTTTTAACTATCATTTTCTAAATTTGATTCCCCCCCCCCCCCC